TCTGGGGGTCTGGTCTTATCCTGTTGTGCCTCCACTTTCTTATCCTTCCCAGGGACGGCAGGGTAGCACTGCCTCTGGGTCCCTGGGTCTTCCCACAGTTCTCGTCCAAACAGGCTCAGGCTGCTTTCCTGGGACCAGGAAGCTAACAGGCTCAGTGTGAAACTTCCGGATGAGCCACTGTCCCTTGCTCATGCAACCGTAGGACTGTTTAGCCAGTATCTGGCTACAACTCCCAATTGCACCAACTGGCTCGAGGCTTTCCAACTGGGGCTTCACCGAGGGCAGAGGCTCATCCTTTGCCCTCCAGTGTCTGCCAGCCCGTTCCCTGTGCCATACCAGGCGGTTCCTCACAACCACCCTTTCTTCCCTTCCCCACACCCTCTGCCTCCCGTTTCCTCCCGGTTAGTCACAGTGAGGTCACCCGCAGCCCCTGGCTCCCAGCCGCTCCCTGAGCATGGTGTGTGTGCCGGGAGCGGAGAGCGGAGAGACTGTAGAGGAGGATGCAGCGGGCCATCGTGGGAAAGATGGGCTCTGGAGTCCAAGAGATGTGGGTTCGAATCCTGGGTCTGCCAGTTGGCCAATCATGTGACCTTCGGCACATTGGTTCATCTCCCAAATCCTTTGCCAAAAAAAAGGTGGGGCTGCCTGGGAGGCGCCTTCCTTGCCTGTCGAATGGGGATAGTAACCCTTGGTCTATAGTGAGAATTCAATGAGATAAAGTGCCCAAAGCCCCTTGCACAGAGCTTGGCAGGCAGCAAATGTTGGTTTACTTCCCTCCTTGTGAAGTGTGGAGGGATGATGGTCAATGCAGTGGCTCGAGAGATCCTGGGGGCCCACCTGTAGGTCTGCAGACGAGCTGCTATGAACATGAACCTGTGGGTATCCGTGTCAGATGGCACTGAGGGTTAGAGTGACTGGTCGCAGGGAGGATCGGGGGGGGGAGGGGCATGGATGTGTATGCGCGTGAGCAGAGGAATGCTCTGGCCTAAGAGTGTAAAGGAGCGTGACCTGGCTGAGCCTCTTTCTCCAAAATTCTCCCCTTCTTGAAAGGAAAGATCTGTCATGTCTGTTCTTGTCAGTAGTGAGAAATCCAAAAACCCTTTCCAGGGGAGGGAAGAGGGAACAGCCCACCCCATGGGGCTCAGCTAAGTGAAGCAAACTCAAGCGAGGCCCACTCCTGGAAGAAGCCAGCATGCTTTTTCCCAACTGTTGGAGAAACCACACCCCAAAAGATGTTCAAAGGGCCAGGGACCTCTCTGGATGCTGCCTAGGGCCAGAGGGGCTGCCCCCAGCCTTGTCCTAAGCACAAGGGTTTCTCAAGCTTCCAAAAGATCACATAGGCAGTTCAACCCACCAGGCCTGTGGAGCAGGCCACCTCCGGACTGGGCTGATGTGGTCACATCTTGGTGTGGAATGGGCTCCTCCCTGTGCATCTTCTCCAAGGGCCTGGGACAGTGAGAGGTGGGTCCCAGGCTGCCATCCTGCCTCCTCAGGGTGGAAAGCACAGGGCACCGGCCCCATCCCAACCTGCTTAGGACTCTCCTTCAGGATCACAATCCTGGGGAATCTCCTCCATTCTCCCGCCCTGCAAGCAAACCTGGCAAAACTATCCCTGAGAGAAGAATCTGTCTCATATGCAAAGACCTTGGGTGAGAAGCTGACTCTACCGTCTCTTTCCCTTGGTGGCTGTTCTGGTGTTTAATAGACCATGTTGGTGCCAAGTCCCAAGTCTGAAGCCTCTCTCTACTTTAGGCCTCGTGTACTAGTTAGACAACTTCCTCGGTGAACAAAATGCAGAATGCCTGAGAGGTTTTGGCTTGGGACTCCAGATTTATTGCTCTCTCTGACCATGAAGGATATACCCAGAAAGTACCCAGCCCCTTAGAAAACGTTTTAGTAGTGACTTCAAATCACCGTATAGATAAAGGAGTCTGATCTCCAGTCCCACCTCAGACTGTCACCTAAACTTGGACGCAGAGTATCAGAGCAAGAAGGAACCCGTGATTCTCCAATGCACCCCCACATCAGGATTTTCTGCCCTTCCACCACACTCTTCTCTGCCTGACAGAGTCCTACTCACCCTTTAGAGCTAGTTCAAATATTACCTCCTCCATGAAGCCCGCCCTGAGCTCCCAGGAAGAATGAACTCTTTCCATTTCTGTTTGACACCATGCTTTCTACACACCTCTAGTAAAGCAGGGATGCGAGTGTATTAGAATTATTCCCCGAGGAGTCTCTCTCTCCTTCCTCTCCTTTTATCTCTCTCTCGAACTCTCCATGCTAGAATATAAGCTGCACCAGGGCAGAGAGCATGTCTTAATTTTTCTTTGTATTCCCACACCTGGCACAGTGTACATGCCCCACCCCACTCCTGGCCAAATTTAGGGAATCAATTAATTTTTCAGCTGAGAAAACTCAGACCACCTTAGCTTTCCTCCCACCAACACACCCTCCCACATCTGCTCTGGCATCATGCCCTGTCCGAGCCCTCTCCCCCTGGCTTCCCGCCTACCTGATCTCAAGGGGGAAAGTCCCCTCCCTCTGCTCCATCCTTCGCCTCACATCTGTCCATACGCACTCTGTCCAACACCATCTGCCCCCACCTGAAGCCCTCCCAGACTAACTCGAACCCCACACGACTCGATTTTCTTCAAAGGCACCAAGCTTGTGTCTACACTGTCCCATGGAGCCAGGTTATATACTTTGTCCTGGGCTCTCTTGTTCTGTGCCTCCTGTTCTGTCCCCTATCTTCCCCTTTCAATCGGGAGTTCCCTGAGGGTCTCAGGTGCTCCATCCTTGGTACCTCCATACATTCCTCTCCAAACACTTGGTCCACGCAGACCGACTCACCCAAGAGGCAACTTGGACTAAACGTCGTGATGGGAAGAGACCTGTGGTCTTAGATTCTGCAGCACACCAGGCAAGTACTTAGTCCTAAACAAGTGCTCCAGGTGTTAGCACTCTTTTGCGGGCATAGTGAGGACCCCAATGTTGGCTTGTTGGCTGGGGAGGGGCTGGACACAAAGGCCCTTGATAGGCCCCTGAAAGCTACTGAGCCCATGAATAAACACCCTCAAACTTGACATAATCTTTACACCTCCCGCACCTGGCGTAGTCTAAGGGGCCGCCCCCCGCCCCCCACCCCCACCCCCCAACATTTAGAGAACAAAGGTTGCTTTCCGAAAGACCTTACCTGCCTGTTGAAATCTAGGCCATTTCGATCATTTCCTGAAAGAGATAAAAATGAAAATATGAGTTGTTAGCGGGATTGGGACGGACTGAAGCTTAGAGGGAAATGGCAATGTCGGGGAGGAGCTTGTCTAGATTTTGAAAAAGAACACCCGCTTCCCCTGGGGCCAGGCTCCTCCTACTTATCCTGTTTCCCAGAGAGGTCTTTGGAAAAATCTCCTCCAGGGAGGTGGATAACCAGGAAGAGTGACTTGTCCGAGGTCACCCAGAGTTAGCCGGGATAGAACTTGACATCCCGGAGCGTGCGTTCTGTGGCACTCCCTCACACAAAGCAAAAGCTGTCATGGCTAAGCAAGGGATGACCGGCCACGGGTCCTAATCCTAACACGGCTGCCCCATCCCGGCCCTCCTGGGGACATGACACCTAAGTCATGTCAGGTAGACAGGTGTCTGTCCTTGCCTTCTCCCCTCTGGCTTTCATTTCTTGTCTGTTCATCTCTTTCCTTTTATGAAGGAACAAGTTATGGTGGGACAAGTAAATGTGTGCCTAATAGAGAAAAATATTTGTTACGGAGAAGTATAAAGTAGCAGAAAAATCACTCTGCTGAGGGGCAGCTGTAATTCATATTTTTGTATATGTTATGGTCTTTTTTTATGTTTGTTTTTCCTCATTGATATTCACCACCTTGTACAAATTTTACCCTGCTTTTCCCAGTGAACATCATTAATATTTCCCCTCTACTATTAAGGGGCACCATAAATCTTTTTTTTTCTCCGATGCTTGCAAACATCGTTTTTAATGGTTCCCTAATATTCCATTCTGGGGACTGTAGTTTGCTTAAATATACACCTATTGTTAGGGGGACTTGCTTCTATTGTTAGCTATAATAAAGTTTCCTCTTCCTATAATTATCTATGGCAGTGGGGCACCTGGGTGGCTCAGTCAGTTAAGCGGCTGCCTTTGGCTCAGGTCATGATCCCAAGATCCTGGGATCGAGCCCGCGTCGGGCTCCCTGCTCAGCGGGGAGCCTGCTTCCCCTTCTCCCTCTGCCGGCCGCTCCCACTGCTTGTGCTCTCTCCCTCTCTCTCTGTCAAATAAATAAATAAAATCTTAAAAAAAAAAACCCCAAACCCAAAAAAACCCCACCAAACTATGGCAGGAGCCACCAAACAAGCTTCCTTTATGCGCCGTGGCTTGCTGGCTCTGTAACAGCAAGGGCAACGACTACTTACTAAATACCATACACTCAGGGCATAGCACTGGGCTTAGTACATAACAGGAGTTCAAAATATACTGGTTGAATGAAAGAATAAATGGACAAGTGAATGAATTCAGAACTTTCAATCAGAAAATTCTTCTGCTTTTCATTAGCTCTACAATAACTTTGGAATAAAGTCTCCGTCCCTTAGCACAACACACAAATCCCCATGTGACTGTCCCTCAGGATCCCACCTCGCTCCCTCCCAGGCACCCTGAGCTCAGGTGCAAACATACCAAGCCTGTCCTGTCCCCACACTTGCCCGGAGTTGGTTAGCCTTGCTCCACTCTGGGCCCCAGGAGCCCTCGCTGCCCCTGCATGGCACATCATGGGACTCCTTTTCTGTGGGCTTCTCTCCTGCTAGCCTATGAGTTCCATGAAAATGGGGACATGACTTCCATTCTCAATGGCCACCGCGGTTCCTAACATAGCCCAGTGTCTCAAGAAATGCCTGGCAGAAGAATGAATGGGACCTAAGAGAATCCTCTGGAGTTTTAACTTAAACCCCTTGCCCTGCTCTGTTCTAAATGAAGATGGGGAAGCGTGCCCTTTCCTCTATGGTTGTGAGGGCATCTCCTCCAGCAACCAGGCCAGCAAGATGAGAGCAGAGGATGAAGAGGGATGGGGTCCTGAGAAGGGCATACGGGGAGATATGGAGTGACGTCTAGATAGCAGCCTGATTTTGAGATCAATGAAGATGATACCTAAAATCTGCAAGGGGAGCTAAAGGTAGGAAGGGCCCACAATTTGAAAGCAGTTGCACATAGACAGATAGACTTAAAGGCAAAATTGCTTTTACCTTTGGTTTCAATTGAGGTGTAACTGACATATAACACTACATTAGTTTCGGGTGATTCAACATTTGTATACATTGTGAAGACACTGATCATCACAATAAGTCTAGCGAACATTCATCACCACACATAGTTACACATTTTTTTTCTTCTGATGAGAATTTTTAAGATCCACTCTCTCAGCAACTTTCAAATATGCAATCCAGTTTTATTAGCCACAGTCACCATGCTGTTCATTACATCCCCAGGACTTCCTGTATTTTATAACTGGAAGTTTGGGCGCCCTTTACCCATTTCACCTATCCTCACCCCTCACCTCTGGCAACCACCAATCTGTTCTTTATATCTATGAGCTTGGCTTTTGTTGTTGTTTTTTATTTGTTTGCTTGCTTTTGAGATTTCACATAGAAGTGAGATCATATGGTATTTGTCTTTCTCTGCCTGATTTATTTCCCTTAGCATAATGCCCTCAAGTTCTGTCCACGTTGTTACAAATGGCAAGATTTCATTCTTTTTCATGGCTGAATAATGTTCTATGTCCAATGTTATGTGTGCATATGGACATATACACAGCATATTTTCTTTACTTATTCATCCACCAGTGGACACTTTGGCTATTTCCCATGTCTTGGCTATTGTAAATAATGTTCTATGTCCAATGTTATGTGTGCATATGGACATATACACAGCATATTTTCTTTACTTATTCATCCACCAGTGGACACTTTGGCTATTTCCCATGTCTTGGCTATTGTAAATAATACTGCATTGAACGTGGAGGGGAGATTTTTTTTTTTTTTTTGAGTTAGTGTCTTCATTTTCTTTGGATAAATGCCCAGAAGTGGAATTGCTAGATAATCCAGTAGTTCTAGATTTTATTTTTTGAGGAGTTTTATCTTAAAAAAAAAAATCCTTCCATGACATTGTAAAGTTGGTCTAATAAGGAGTAATTTTAAAACTTGACAAAAGAGCAAATTCATTCATCCAACAGGCATTTACTCAGCCCACACTAAGTACCAGGCACTGTTCTAGGCGCTGGGAATACAATCCTGGAGAAGACAGCAGAAGTCCCTGACTTCTTCTAGAGTTGAGGAGACATAAAAGGAATAAGAAAACAAATATAGAATTTCATTTAAAGATAATTACTGTGGAGAACAATAATACTGGGTCAGGGGAAGGGCGTGTCAGAGGCTGTTCATAAGCAGGTGGTCTGGGAAGGCCACTGAGAGGAGGGGAGGTTTTTACTCCATGAAGTGAGGACCCAACCTTTCGAAGGTCTGAGGAAGATCATTCCAGACAGAAGTATCAGGACCTAAGGCAAGAGCAGGCTTGCATGCTGAGGAATAGTAATGAGGCTAGTAGGGCTAAAGAATGGGGTAATCAGAGGCAAGCTGACATGGATCTGGCAGACAGGTGATGGTGAAAGCTGAAGGACGACAGGAAGTGATAGAGGGTTTGAGCAGAGGAGTCACATGATCTGACTTCAGTGTTTAAACCTACAGTGATGAGCTGGTAGGGGGTTAGAGAGCAGGAAGCAAGACCAGTGGAGAGCCATTGCAGTGGCCCAGATGAGAAAGGGCAGCGGAGTGGAAGGGACAGCGACAGTGGAGGTGGTGAGAAAAGCCTGGATTTAGAATATTCAATTGATAGCCGACGGGACTGGCTGATGGATGGGAGGTGCGGTGCAGGGAAAGAGAGGAATCAAGGAGGATTTCTAGGGTTTGGCCTTTCTCGATGGAATAATCGGTGGTGCCATTCCCAGAGATGGGGGTGACTCAGGGAAGGGCAGGCTGGGGGTAGAACGTCGAAAGCTGTTTTTGAAGGAGGTAAGTTTGAGATGCCAATGAGATATCTCAGGAGAGGCAGGGAAGTGAGTTTGGACTCAGGAGAAGTGTGAGGTCAGACGTATAACCTGGGTAGTTATCCGCCTATAGGTGGCATTTAAAGCCACAGGATTCAGTGAGGTTACAAAGGAACTGAGTCCAGATGAAGAAGAAAGAAGAGTCAAGGCTGGACTGATGAGGAGGAGCCAGCGAAGGAGACAGAGAAAGAGTGGGCCCTCGAGGAGGAGGAAGACCAGGCAAGGATGGTGACTGGGTGGTAAAAAGGGGAAGATGTTTCCAGAAGGAGGTATTAATACAGCGAGAGAAACAGTGGAGGGTCAAAACAGTTTGACTTGGAGGAGGTCATCAGCTTTGTGGACAATTAAAGAAGGTCTTTGCTTTTGATTTCTGTGAATGCAATTATCATGTTGTTTATGAGATCCACAAAATGGAAAAGATGAGCAAGCAGGATTCAGAGTTTAATTTTAAATCTCACCAGCCAACAAAATTAACAATTTCTCTTGCCTAGAAGTTTTTCCATGGCCCTTCTCAAGAGGCCTCTTATCATGAGGATGCACCTGCTGCTCTTGGAGCCTAGTGAGGACATTTCTCCTTCTCATCAAATTCATTCTTACCTGCATTGGTATCTGTACCTAATCTTCCTTGAAACCCAGCCTAAGTGAATGAGGTACCTGGTTGGCCAGGACCTCCCAAGGAGACTGGCCCCATGACACGCCAACAGAGTCGAGAGTGCCCTATAGCTCAGTGCTGGGCATTTAGGAAGGGCTCAGCTCCCCAAAGCCATTCCAGTTCTGATTCTGATTCCACTGCTAATGGTCTAGATTGAGAGATGACTGGTGAGCCGTTCCTGGGACTCAATTTATTCATCTTTGACACAGTGAGGTAGGTGATCCTCTTTCAGGGAGAAATGAGAGGATGCGATCGATTATTATATTAGGTGAAATCCTGGTCCACGATCATCAGAGACTTACTTTATACCCCTTTGCAATGCGCTGTGGAGAAGCAGCAAGGGTGTACTTGGAAACAGTCCTGGACTTGAAGTTGGAGAACTGAGGTTCAAGGCTTGGCTCCATCACTCCCAGGCTGTGTGAGTTTGATCAAGGCAGGCAGCTCCAGAGGCTTCAGGCTTCTCAATGGCAAAA